GAGGGGACTCTGGAGACATGTCCTCTGAGCTTAGCGCGCGCGCACACACACACACACACACACACACACACACACACACACACAATGTAATAATTTTTTAAAATATTTTATTTATTTTTATTTTATGTGTAAGTATATTGCCTGCATGTACACTCATGATGTGCAATGCGTCACAGGTTAGAAGAGGGCATAGGATTCCCCTGGAACTGGAGTTACAGATGGTTGTTAACCACCACGTGGATACTAGGAATTGAACCCAGATCCTCCTCTGCAAGAGCAGTCAGTACCCTTAACCACTGAGCCATCTCTCCAGCCCCCAAATGTAATACCTTTTAAAATTATTTTTAAAAGAAATAAAGCTGGGCGTGGTGGTGCTCGCCTTTAATCCCAGCACTCGGGAGGCAGAGGCAGGCGGATCTCTGTGAGTTCAAGGCCAGCCTGGTCTAATAGTGAGTTCCAGGACAGCTGGGGCTCCACGGAGGCCCCGTCTCAAAAAGACCAAAAACAAAACAAAACAAAAAACAAAACAAAACAAACATACAAAAAGAAATATAAAAAAATTACAAAATGAGCCAGGCATGGTGGCGCACGCCTGTAGTTCCAGCACTTGGGAGGCAGAGGCAGGCAGATCTCTGTGAGTTCAAGGCCAGCCTGGTCTACATAGTGAGTTCCAGGACAGTTGGAACTATAGGGAGACCCTGTCTCAAAAAGACAAAAAAAATTACAAAATGAATACCTTGGTAATGTTTATTTATCCCAAAGGCTATGGAGACAGTCTGCAGCCCAGGCTGGCTGGAACTTGCAGCGATCCTCCTGCCTCAGCCTCCTGGCAGTCTGCATCTATTTATAACTAAATGCTGGCATGGTTAGGCTTATCCACAGCCTCATCCCATCACTTAGCATGTCCTATTGTGTTTTAGTTTTCTTTCTTTTCAAGTCTTCTTGAGAATGGATTATATTTTTATTCCACTTTTTGATTCATTCCTTTATTTTTATTCCATTTACCCTGTGTTAGAAGTCCATGTTTTTATTTTCCTTATGGTTTCTTTAGTTGTGCTGTTGACTTAATTTTTTCTAAAGTTACTGTTTGATCACAGATGGTCTAGCAGAACTGTGAGGAGTAGACCTTTATGACAACTGTCTAGTTCCCACTGTCCTCTGTACAGCCCCTTCAGGCAACCAGTCCCTCCTTGTGTCCTCTCAACCTTTACAACTGTGTTGCAGGCAGTGGGCCCTGAAATGATGTTCGCACTGAAAGGCAGTTTGATGAGGCCCTCTGTCCCACCTGTCTCTTGTGGGTATTAGGACTCAGCCTCAAGCATCTCTGTAGAATGCTTCTGGGTAGGGTCAGGTCTTCCTGTGGGACATCTGTCTTGTGTCTGTCTCATGTCTCTGTGATGAGATCTGGGTTCAGCTTGTGTCTCTGTCTTGGGTCTCTATGATGAGACCTAAGTTCACCTTGTCTCTGTCTCAGGGTCTCTGTGATGGGGTCTGGGCTCAGCTTGCCTCTGTTCATGCCTCTGTGGTGGGGTCTAGATTCTGGTGGTGGCTTAGTCACTGATCAGGGTCTCGGGGCTGGTATCAAATTGGCTGTATTTGCTTCCAGCTTGATTTAAGAGTCAGCAGAATCCCTCCCCTGTGGTGTTTTCACAGCCATCAGAGGGGGGAGTCTGAGCTTCAGTCTCTGTTAGGCCTCCCCTGACTAGGTTAGGCTCCCAGGAGATCAACAGCTTCTTCATCAGAATGCACTGATTTTAGAGCACAGTGACAGCTACAAAACTCTGTCACATTTTTGGGTTGATGCCAGTGATTGTGGTGTGACACTCCATCATCTCGCTGGTTACATGGCTTCCTTGCCTTCCAGAAAGGGTGTCCTGAGTGCATGACATGCTGGGTCACTTGCCATATGTCTGCTGCAGGACTTCGGTGGTTCTGACCCACTACTCCTGCGTGACTCCAGCTGACTCTGGCTGTCCCTGACCCTGCTGATGACTGAGCACAGGTTGTCTTGTCTGCCTTCACCTAGCAATTGGCTCAGGGTACCTCCTATGCCAGCCTTTTTTCAATGGCTAAACAAAATCCCTGAGGCTGCATATTTTATTAAGAAAACAAGTTATGGGGCTAGAGAGATGGCTCAGTGGTTAAGAGCACTGACTGCTCTTGCAGAGGACCCAGGTTCAATTCCCAGCACCCACACGGAGGCTAAGAACTGTCCTTAACTCCAGTTCCAGGGGAATCCGAAGCCCTCTTCTGACCTCCTAGGATTGCACAACATGGGTGCACTCATATACATGCAGGCAACACCCTCATACACATAAAATAAAAATAATAAATAAAATATTTTTTAAAAAAGAAAACAAGTTATTTGCTTTCCAGTTTTGGAAGTATGAAAGCCCAAGCTTGTGCAGTCCTGTCTGTTTGACTGTGTCACATAATGGCAGATGGTATCATGGTAGATGTGCATGACGGAGAGAGAATATGTGTGAAAGGGGCCAGAGGGAGATGGGGGCTACGCTTACTCTCACAACAGCTCACTCCTGAGATCAGCATTTCTCTTCCTTAGGGCATGCCCCCAGTGGCCCAACCGAGACCTCCCACCAGGATCCTCCTCCACAAGGTCCCTCTACCTCTTAAACCCAGGTGTTGGAGACTATACCTCGAGCACATGAGCCCTTTGGGAAAAAGTCACATCCAAATCCTAGCAATGATCATCCATCTCCTAAATGCACTCAGCTCGGGAGACTGAGGCAGTGTAGCTTTGTGATCTCACAAGCTGCCACCTGCCTGCTTGCCCACATGCAGCTGAGCCATCTCCAGATAATGGTTCAGGGTTCTAGCTGTTTCTGGGCTGGCCTGTCCCTTCCTGAGCCTCCCATTTGTTCCTCTTTCCTTGTGTTACAACCTCAGGTACCCATAACCCTTTTGAACATTAGTGACAGTGACTTCTGTATAGAAGAGAGTCACACAGGGAAGTTCTCAGCCATTCATTAGACCCATAGGCCTTTGCATAGCTGTGTCTCCCACTCATGCTCCAAGTTCAGAAATCTTGAGCTGGGGCCACTTGTGGCAGCTTCTCAGGAAGTGCCTACTTTCTAGTTGTGCTGTGGCCTCCTTTTTGTGGGTCTGAGTGAACAAATGAGTGTATGAAGGTGATTGCCTCTGTAATCCAGACCCAATGAGGGACATAGAGCAGCAACTGTGGGGCCATGTCCGTGAGCCACCATACATACACACACACACACACACACACACACACACACACACACATATTTATACACATCTGCTTACAAAAGATGTCTCTGTGCTCTCTGAGCAAGGTATGCTATCTTCCATGACAGTTTATCTCATCCTGCTCTGGAAACTCACCTCAGGGGGACCCCGACCCCTCGTTGCTAAATACTTCAGTCAAAACCCTGCTGTTTTAGGAAAAGAAGATTTTTTCCATCTATGGACACTACCCTGTGATCCGGGCCACACTGCGAAGGAAGGGTTGGGTAGAAAAGAAGTTCCACTTCCTGCCCAAGATCCTTCAGAATGTCGACAGTGAAGGTAAAGGGGCTCTGGAAGAGGATCAGACCTGCCTTTTTCCATGTAGGTTTGTCATAAGGCTAGAAAGTCAGACATCCTGGGTGTGGTAACTCCACATACCTCTGGCGTCTGTCTCCACATCTCCATCACCCTCCCAGTGTCCCCCATCCCCCCCCACACCCTTTGGCAAAGTCCGTCATGGTTCCAGTCACTTCTTGATGTCCCGTATCCACACCCAACCCTGGCCATCCTTCCTCCAGCTCCAGTTCCCCACAGGACATTCCTCTCTAGACTCATGCCCCAGTCTACTTCCCCCATGGCACAGCCCTTGAAGAGCATTTGCTCCCCTGGGGGCAGTCTGACCTGGAGCTTCTAGTAGACAGGTGGTCATCTACCATGGTAGGTTTCCAATACTACAGGGATTCTGGCTATGTGCCCTGGCTGTACTGCACCTGCCTCTCCTGCTTCTGTTTTGTTTGCAGACAATAAAAGTGCTGACACCAAAGAAAATCAAGAAATAGCCTTGGAAAGATTGGATGAGATCTATGATGTGATGGTAGGCCCCTGGCCTGGTGTCGGGGAATGCCATGACCTGTCTGAGGCAGGGCACATTGGAGGGGGTGGGGGTGGGGGCTGGAGTGAGACTACTGTGTGAGACACAGGACCTGAGACTCCCTGGGGCTTCCCTGCCCCCTGCCCCTAGCTCCTGCATCTCACACTGACTAGCATAAGTAAAGGCCTATGTGAATGTGGACCATGGAGGGCTGAGTGATGTGCTGGAGGTCTGCAGCCTGGCCTATGCACCACATGATGGAGACAGAAGGGGCCCAGTCAATGCGGAGTCTCCAGTGATATAGTAGTTTATTCCAGTCATCCCCCAGCCTGGCTCCTCTGCAACTCTCTTCTGCCTTTGTCCATAAAGAGGACAAAAGGGCAGTCACAGAGTGGAAGGAAGATTTTGCCATATATATAATTTAAAAGATTAGATATATGTGTATAAGAACTCACAAATCAGTGTTAAAAAAGACAAATAGAAAAACAGATAAAAGATTTGGCTCGGAAGTGGCCAGTAAGCACGTAAAGTTCATGGAATTAATTCCATTTCCATAGTGCTGTGCACTTAGTCTGATTTGTTCAACTGTAACAGAGCCTAGGCCTTCCTTTGCTCTGTTCTGTGGGGAGAAGTTGCCTTCTGGGGCTCTGGGAGCAAAATTCCTCTGGATGGAGCTCCCAGGTCCCAGAGCATCATGGTCACCTCCAGTCAGTAGCATATCTCTTAAGTCCCACATAGATACCAGGGTGGGAACAGTTCTGATCTCTCCCAGCAGAGGGAGACAACTGGCTCCTGGGCTCCAGAAACCCTCTGTGATGGGGGTTGCTCCCAGTCCAGCACAAGTGGCCCTCAGGAGCCATATGACCTCAACCAAGATGGAATCCTTTGTCACAATCATCGCAATGCAGTTTAACATCTGGTTCCCATCCCCCCCCCCCGCCGCCACACTCTTGACTATGTCCCAGCTGTGCAGAGGAAGAGAGCTCTGAATGTTGGATGTTGATAGAGGGTTCTTTTTGCCAGTCTAGTTTGGTAAAAAATGAGGTGCCTAACCTCCTTTGGACTGTCAAGAGGGATGTTGTGGACTATCACAGCTTGACCTGTGACCAGATGCTGAACCACTGTGGAAGGACGGTGTCATTCACCACTAAGGTGGATGGGAGGTCCTGGGCTTGATTAGAATGGGTGGGTCATCTGCAGCTGGGCGGACCACAGGGACTGGTCAGCTACAACTTCTTCCCCAGGATGCCCACCACCTCCTGCTCTACCTCCCCACCTGCACCCCTATGCCTTCCACTGTGTCTCCAGGTGGTCCCAGAGTCATGGAAGCCCTCTTCTTGGGGCCAAGCCAAAGATGGGTCCCCAGTGGGTTTCACCTTGTGGGTCAGGTGGGTGAGGCTGCCCACTGAGGGCCCTGATACACTGCTCTCTCTGGAGATCGGACTGTGTGTGAACATGAGGAGCCTGCCTTGGTATGTCCAGGCCAATCCTAACACCTTCTTCCCACGTTGCTATGGCCTCTGCTCAGAGACTGAGAAGCAAGAGTTCTTAGGTGAGTGACTAGTGGCCTCCTGAGGCTCTACATTTCCTTATGGCCAGAACCACCAGGTAAGGATCTCTGATCAGCCAAGCAAGGGCCAGTCCAGAGACTTCCACAGGCAATGTTGGGAATATGGGGCACCAGAGGCTGACAGAAGCTATAAAGCTGGGCATCTGGGTCTTGGCTCTGAGGGAACACAGGGAGGCCTCAGGCAGCACTGTCTCAGAGCAGCTCTGCCTACTTCTGTCTCTTTCTAATCCTAACCCTAACCATGCTGCTCAGAGCCTGGGTTCACCTTGACCCTGGGTCTGCAGGATATACAGCTATGCCCTGCTTCTGTGCTGACTGAGTGCAAGCAAGGCCCCTTAGCAGTGGACGGTTGTATGCCCACATGGTCCAGGGTGTCCAGAGGAACCTCAGAGATTCCTCTGAGGGGCCTGGCACTATAGCAAGAAGACTTCTGGAACTATCCCTCAGGTCTCTGATGAGACAGGATGAGGGGCAGTGACTTAAGCACAGGGGAGAACAGTGTTTAGAAGGAGGAGCTCACAGGGGACTGATGTGGACAAGTGGGTGAACAGCTGGGCATAGGGCAGACGTGAGGCCTCTGCAAGAGCTGAGACACCTGACAAGGGTGGCGGGGAGACCCGTGCAGCGTGCCTTGCTGCCTCTCCACTCCGGGTGGGCAGTGGAAGCCCTGGTGTCCTTCCAGACGACTTCCGGCGTACAGTGGCTTCCAGCATCCTCAAGTGGGTGGTCATCCACCACAGCTACAACCAAAACAAGGGCAACGGTAAGGAGGAGGCCAAGAAAGGTGACGCCAACCCCAAGAAAGGTGGGCACTGCTGGGGCGGGGCCTCTGTGGCTGGTGGGGCGGGGCCTCTGGCCCAAAGGACCAGGTCTCTAGTTGATGGGGCAGGGCCTGTAAGGCTGACAAGGCAGGTTGGACACTGTCGCTTTGGTGACACAGCAGCTATGGAAAGGAGACACCGATGCTCCTGATTCATGACCCTCAGAGTCGACCTGTTGACTTCGAGCTGAGACCTTGGCAGTCCTAGTTGAACAACTCCCTCGGCACCCTTATCCCATGATCACATTAGATCTGGTCCCCCAGTTCAGTGTCTAACCAATGGTCACTGCTGTGCCCCTCTGCAGGGCCTCTGAAAGAGGATTACAGCAGCGACACACCTGCGTGGTGTAGGGACACAAGCAGTCACTTAGTTTTAAGTTGTTGATGCTGCTGTTGTTATTGACTTTTTAATTGAAATTTGTCTCTTAGTTTTAGGTTAACAACAAAATTGAGCAGAAGGTAGGATAGGTTTCCTATCCATCTCCTTCCCCCTTCTCACCCCACTGTCAACATCCCCACCCGACTCTAACATTTGTTAGAACTGTTGGAAAGTCAACCTTAGCATGTTAAAATTGTAAAGCGTATGTTTGAACAATAATCTGTGAATCAGGCAGCTCTAGGCCGTGAGCAGAGGCATTTGTAGGGCAGATGTGGGCTAGTTACAGCTGAACTGTCTGGGTGGGAGTCAAGATATGTAACTAAGGCCCTCTAGCTGTTTATACTTGGCGGAGCTAATCCCTGCAGGCCCTGGCCCTTTTACCACCTCTTCAGGATACCCACAGTGTAAACCTCACAGTGTACAGACTGGTCAGACTGGCTCCATTCACATAGCAGCAGACTTTGAAGGCTGTCTCACATCTTTCTGTGCTTGATACTAATAATTTCAGGCCAAATAGCTTCCTGTCCAGATGTGCCAGGTTATTTTATCAGTTTACCTACGGAAGGACTATTAAAAAACTAGTAGTTTGCTTTCTCTGTTGCTGGGATAAAACACTGACCAAAACCAATTTGGGGAGGAAAGTGTCTATTTTAGATTACAGGTTACAGTCCATCATCCACAGAAAGCAAGGCAGGAACTGAAGTAGAGACCTAGAGAAATGCTGCTCACTGGCTTGCTTCCCTCTTCTGCTCAGTTACTTTTCTTATACAATCCAGGCCCATCTGCCTAGGGATGGCACTACCCACAGTGAGTTGGGCCCTCCTACATTAATTAGCAACTAAGAAAATATCCCATAGATATGCCAGTCTGATGGAGGAAATTCTTCAGCTGAGGGTCCCTCTTTCCAGGTGACTACTATGTATTAAGTTAAAACTAACCAGAAAAAACTTCGATGTGAAGGTTCACATGGCCATAAATTTTCAGCTCATCTGGGTAAATGCTAAGTAGTGTAATTGCTGGATGTTATGGTGAAATTAATTTTGTGAGAAATCTGCCAACTGTTTTCCTAAAGTGGCAACGCCATTTTGCATTTCCATACCATGTTACACTGGTTTTTTTTGGGGGGGGGAGCGGACCATGAACAAATGTCTGTCACTTCAGATAGGGAACCAATGACAGACCAAAGTGCAGCTGGGTAAACCAATGAGTTTTATTGGGCTTGCTTATAGAGTATGGGTACCCCAGCATGGGAACTGTTCACTAACACAGGAAACCTGAAGCTTACTGCACAACTTGCCGGCAGCTCAACGGGTTGGAGAGTGTCTCTTCCAGGCAGCTTGACTGGTCTGACAGGGTCGCTCATCAGTCCTTAGGCCTTATATATGGGGGAAGAGGGGCCTAATGTATCTGGTCGGTTTTAGGAATTTATTGAAGCTATTGAGGTGTCTACTTCCCTGCAGGATGGAGTGTTGTACCTCCCTATAAGCACCCTGTGTCTTAGTGAGCCTCCTCCAAGATGGACGGCTTTATCTTGGAGAAAATTGCTACCGAACATCCCAGTGGCCTATGCACGGTGGAATGTTAGTTTCACATCCTGAAATAAGCAGTGTAGGAGGAGAAAGGATTTTAGCTCACAGTTCAGAGGCTTCAGTCCATGGATGCTGACTGTGTTACTTTCAGGACTGTGGCAAGTCGGAGCACCATGGCAGAATGGTGTGGTTGAGCACAGCCAATACCTTTTGGTGTCAGGAAGCAGAGAAAAGAGGAGAGAAGGAAAAAGAAGGGCCAGGGATAAGATATTCTCTTCAAGGATCCCCGGTTACCTGCTTCCTCCACCAGGCTCCACCTCCTGATGGTCTATTCACCTATGAACTGGATTAATCCACTGAGAAGTCAACAAACTCATGATCCAATCTGTGCTAGGTCTGTGCCACTTGCTGGTCCAGAGCTCTCATGTCCAATGACAACATGTGCTGTTCTTGCTGTCGGCATCATTCCACGTGTCATTTCCAGCTGTTCATCTTCCCTGGAAATGTCTGTTCAGATGCCAGGTCCCATCCAAAATTAGGTCGCTCCATTTTCTTATTGACAGGTTCCAAGCGTTCTTTGTGTCCTCTGGACAACATGCTTTTATCAGAAGTGTGTGAAAGTGCCCCCCCCGTCCTTGGCTCATTTTCTCATTCCTTTGAAGATGATTTTTACACAGCAGATACTTTTAATTTTAATGAAGTTAACTTATCAATGATTTCTTTCATGGATCAAGCCTTTGGTGGTATATCTAAAACAGTCAACAAAAAGCTTGGGTCACTTGGATTTTCCTTTTTTCCTTCTGAGAGCTTTGTGGATTTTTGTGTTCTATTTATACTTATCATCCTTTTGGAGTTAATTTTTTTTGAACAGTATGGCCTGTGTCTCGATTTGGTTTTGTGTCTCATTTTCTTTTTTAAGACTTATTTTCATTATTATTTATTTTTAGAACTTGCTTTGTGGTCTTTTTGAGACAGGGTCTCCATGTAGCCCCAGCTGTCCTGGAACTCACTATGTAGACCAGGCTGGCCCTGAACTCACAGGGATCCGCCTGCCTCTGCCTCCCGAGTGCTGGGATTAAAGGTGTGCGCCACCATGCCTGGCCATTTTTAGAACTTTTAAAGTATTTTTAATTTAATTCTTGACAGTTTCATACGTGAACACTGTATTTATATCACCCATACTCCAGCCTCTTTCCCCTCCAACTCCTTCCATGACCTTTTATTATGTTTATCATGTATATCTGTGTGTCTGTATGTGGGAATGTGCATGTGAGTGCAGGTGCTCATAGGTTCTGTGAATTTATTTGTGTATTACACCAATACCATGCTGTCTTAATGTCTACAGCTCTAAGTCTTAAATCTTCCAACTTTGTTCTTCTCCATTGATAAAAATAGACTATTCTGGTCTTTGGTTCTCTGTACCTGACTTTAGAATTCCATTTGTTGACATTCTCAAAGTATCTTTCTACGATTCTGATTGAGACTGTGCATAGACCATGTTGGGGAGAGTTGACATGTCAATAATGAGTCTCCTGTCTGTGTACATGGAATAACTCTCCATGTGTTAGATCTTCACTATAATTTTCAGTTTTTTTTCATTTGCCTCACATAGTTCTTATGCCTAGTTTATTAGATTTATTTGTACTTAAGTGTTACATTTTCAAGGGTGCTAATGTATATGGAATTTTTTTTTAATTTCAAATTCCAGTTGTTCATTGCTATTATATGGGAAATGATTGACTACAGCCACTTGTTACCCACAGTACTTTCTGTTTAATTCTTTTGGATTTCTACATAGATAACGATGTTAGCTGTGAATGAAGACAGGCTTACTCCTTTCCAGTCTGGATACCTCATGTTTCTTTTGCGTGTGGCGTGTGTCATTGCATTCACCAGGATGCTGATACAGAGCTGAAAATCAGCCGTGAGAAGGGACTCTATGGTGATGTCCTCCCTTTATTTTGATATTAATAATTTATGCCTCTTCATAACCTGGCTAGGGGTTTATTGATTCTATTGCTCTTTTCAAAGAACTAGATTTTGAACTCATTGATTGTTTTTCTATCATTTTCCCATTTTCATTTTCCACCCAAATTTTTATTATTTATTTTGGTTAGTTTACTTTGGATTTTTTTTCTTTTTCTAACTTTCTAGCCTAGATCATTAATTTTATAAGCATTCAACATTCACAATATCCTTCTAAGAACACCCCTGGTGCCATCCTACAAATTTTGAAAGTTGTGCTTTCATTTTCATTTAACTAAAAATATGGCTAACAGAGCTGGAGAGATGACTTAGCGGTTAAGAGCACTGACTGCTCTTTCAGAGGACCCCAGTTCAGTTCCCAGCACTCAATGGCGGCTAACAATTGTCCAAAACTTCAGTTCCAGGTAATCCAAAACCCTCTTCTGACCTCTGTGGGCATTGCACGACATGGGTGCACTTACATATATGCAGGGAATATGCTCATACACAAAAAATAAAATAAAAATAATAAATAAAATGTGGCTGACAACTCTCTGTAGCTCCAGTTCTAGGGGATCTGACACCCTTTTCTGGCCTCTATGGGCATTGCATGTCATGGGTGCACTTACATACGTGCAGGCAAAACACTCATAGCACATAAAACAAAAATCAAAAAATTTTTAATAAAAAATAGGGCCAGGTGTAGTGCTGCACACCTTTAATCCCAGCACTCAGGTGGCAGAGGGAGGCAGATCTCCAGGAGTTCGAGGCCAGCCTGGTCTCCATAGTGAGTTCCAGGCCAGCTGGGGCTACAGGGAGACCCTGTCTCAAAAAGACCGAAAAAAAAGAGAAAATTTTAGGGTATGGCTAGAGAGATAGTTCAGTAGTTAATAGCACTCGCTGCTCTTGCAGAGGACTCAAATTCAGTTCCCAGCACCCACGTGGCAACTCAAAACTGTCAGTAACTCCAATTCCAGGGGATCTGACGCCCTCATCTGATCTCCTCGGGCATTGCATGACACTGGTACACTTATGTACATGCACGTGGTACACACATACATTTTCATAAAATAAGTAAATCTTTTAAATTTTTTATTTATTTATGTATTTATTTTATGTGTATGAGTGTTTTCTCTGCATGTAAGTGCACCCATGTTGTCATGCAATGCCTGCAGAGGCCAGAAGAGTGTCAGATCCCCTAGAACTGGAGTTCCAGACAGGTGTTAGCTGCCATGCAGATGCTGGGAATCAAACCTGGTTCCTCTGCAAGGGTGGCCTGTGCTTTAAGGCACTGAGCTGTACCTCCAGCCCCAAATAAATCTTTTTAAGCAACTTAAATTTTCTTCTGGTTTTTCTCTACTATGGGTATTATTATTATTATTATTATTATTTATTATTGAGACAGGGTGCTTCTCAGGTGCATATATATTCATTACTGTCGCATCTTTCTGGAGAATTGAATCCTTTTTCATTACGTAACCCGCCTTTATCCCTGACCATTTTCCTTACTCCGAAGTCCGCTCTGCCTGACTCTGTCTCCTTTGATTATATCAGCCCAGTGTGTCTTCCCCCATATCTTTACTTTTAATCTAATACAGTTTTATGCTCAATGTGAGTTTCTTAAGGAGAACAGAACCGGGACTGTTCAAGCTACCCTGTGATCTGTGTCTTTTAAGTGCTGTGTTTAGGCCATTGACACTAACGGTGATTATTGAGTTGAATCGGCAGCTGCCTTGGTTGCCGGTTTTCTCCGCCCTGTTCTTCTTCTTCCTGTTGTTTCCGCCTCTCGGTTCCCACCTTTTGTGAAGAGCTCATCCCCACAGCCAGGCTTCCCGACCCCAGTCCATCCCGCGGAGGTCTCCACTCCAGATGAGTTGGGACCCTTCTTGTCTGCCTCTCTCCAATTTGGGTGCTGGTTTTGGAGGATCAGGAAGGGCTTAATGTTTAGTCTGTTCAGCTTTTTACTGGTATGGAGGGAGTGATCACACCCATGCCTCCCACAGTTGAAAGCAGAAGTACCACATTCACTTTTAAGTGGCTAATTTGTTCTGTGACCATCAGCAGAATCTCAGCAGGTTTTAAATGCCCACTGTACTCTCCACAGTTGTGACATAAACTCAGTACTCTTGTCCTGCAGCTTGGTGAGTGGACCTGTACCCAACACAGCACTTCTCAGTGCCATGCCTCTACCAGCACCAGGCCCAAGGTCCCCAGCCGCTCCCTACCTGTGCTGCAGCCCTGCCCTCTTGCTTTACCCCCTGGCCAGCCCATGGCTGGCTGAAGGAGGGGTATCAGCATATTGCCCACATTACTGAGGCTTCGTGAGATACATCTTGTCTGTACTTGGTGAGATTCAACGGTGCTCCAGAGGGGATAAGATACTGTGTAAAGGGTTCGGGTGTCAGGAGTCACCAAGGTCGCCTACGCACCTGATCTAGGAAGCTTGTTAGTAATAGGAGTTGTCACTTACAGCAGCTCAAAGTGCTCACTAGTGTCAGAGCAGGACAGGTCTGGTCAGAGTGTGTGATCAGAAAACATGACTTTTATGACATTAAAAGTACTGTCTGAGGGCTGGAGAGATGGCTCAGCAGTTAAGAGCACTGGCTGCTCTTGCAGGGGACCTAGGTTTGATTTCTGGCACCCACATGTCAATGAACAACTGTCTGTAACTCCAGCTCCAGGGGATCCAATGCCCTCTTCTGACCTCCACAGGCATTGCATGATATGGGTGTACTTACATACATGTAGGCAATACACTCATACACATAAAATATGAACAATAAATAAAATATTTTTTTTAAAAAGTACTTTTTCCTTTCTGCCGTGACAGCCAAGTTCAGTTGCAGAGCGTGAGCCTCCTAGGGGCATTGGTAATCCTGAAGAGGGGGCTGAAGAGATCCTTCCTGGGGAGGAGTCACTGACCAGGGGGAAGTGTGGCCCCAGGGCAGTGGCTGGCCAGAGGCGTTTAAGGCACAGGGGTGGGGGAAAGGTGGTGGGAATGGGAAGCAATCCCTGTGCCCATGGTGGGGATCACACTCCAGTGTATGTGCTTGCATTCCAGATCCTGAGACTACCGACCCCAAGCCCCAAGGCCTCTCGGGACAACTTGTGGACACAGCCTGCAAGGTGTGCCAGGCCTACCTGGGACAGCTGGAGCACGAGGACATTGACGAGTCAGAGACCAGCGCTGAGGCCCTTTCTGAGGATGAGTGGAATGACCTGATCCAGCAGTACTACTCTCTGGTTCAGTAAGACGCCACCCTACAGCCCTTGGCACCAGATGCCTCATCGTGAGCACATGGGTGGCAGTCATAGGCAGGGATTTCGGGAGCTGCCTGGAGCAGTCATCCTCTAGGTGTGGGGCATCTGCTTAGGTGTTGGGGAATCTGAATGGGGCACCCATCTGGCACTGGGGTACTTGCCTAGATATTGGGGTATCTGTTTGGATGGCAGGGGTACCTATCCAGCATTGGAGCACATGCCTAGATGTTGGGGTGCCTCTTTGGCACCTATCTCAGTGTCGAAGGCATTTGTCTTGATGTTGGGATGTTTACCTGGTATCTAGGCATCTGTCTACCTGTTGGGGTGCCTGTCTGACTGTTAAGGCACCTGTCTGGGGTTGGAATGCCTGTCTAGGTCTTGGGGTGCCTTCTGGGTATTGGAGTACCTGCCTAGACATATGGATACCTGTTGGCTGTTGGGGTACCCAGGCAATCAGTTGGTTGTTGAGAGGATGACACCTCATATGGGTGTCTTTGGGGATAGCATCACCTTTGTTATCTTCCCAGCCCCTTTCATGTTTGACCTGACTTGAATCCACAGTAGCCCTGGCACATTTGTACCACTCATGGCCCGGCCACCTGGGAGGCTGTGAGTGATGAACGAGGACTGGCAGAGGCTCTGCCTCGGCCTTCAGGCCAGAGATGCTGGTCACCCCTCACTGCTCCAAGGCCCACAGACTGACCCTGCTTTCCACCCTTCCTCTGGCCTACCACCCCTTATAGTGACATCAGCAAGAGAAGAGGGAGTGGAGGCAGCCCAGGCATCCTTAGGACAAAAAGCAGGGCGGCAGTACTTGAAGGGGCTACAGCAGCGCCCCCCATCCTGGGTGTTTTTGCTTTGTGCCTTCCCTCCCTTGGAGTATCAAGCACTTTCTTCTCCCCTCCCCTCCCCTGATCCCCCTCTGTATTAGTCAGGGTTCTCCAAAGAAACAGAACCAGTAGAATGAATATGTATAGGGATTCATCAGTTTAGCTCACAGGATAGAGTCCAAGTAGTCCAACAATGGCTGCACCACACTGGAGAGGCTGAGAATCTGTAGTTGCTCAGTCCACGAGGCTGGATGTCTCAGTAGTCCCAATCTGGTGCTGGGGGCCTGACAAATTCCAAAATATCAGGTAGTCTTCAGTCTACAGCAGCAAGACGAACTCACCAGCGAGAGAGAAGGCAAGCCGCAAAAAGCCTCCTGTTCTCCTCTGCCTTGGTCTTTTATACCGGCCATCAGAAGGTAACGCCCACATTTAGGGTGTGTCTTCCGGCTTTAGATGATCCAATCAAGAAGATCTCTTTCATTTCAGTTAATCTCAGATCCAATCAAGTTGACACCCAGGATTAGCCATCACACCCTCCTATGTTCTTCATTTTTTCTCTTTTCTGTTGAGGAATATTAATATAGTTAACGGCTGCACCATGTTGGAGTTTTGCTGTGTTTCCCCATAACTGCACCCCAGTCAGAATCAAGATTGTGTCCAGCAGTCAGCCCTGTTCACGCTTTCCAGACAACACCCCCCCAGGTCACACCTCCTCAGCTCCCTCTCACCCCACCCCCACCCCAGTGTGAACAGAATGTTAGAATATGCATTCTGCCATCCCTGTTCAGTGTCCACCAAAAACATCAGTTTATTCACGCCGTACCCTAACTGATTCTTTCACCCCATTGTTCTCTGGGACACCAAGTGAGGCAGGACAAAATCTCCACGCACATGAGGACTCATGCTTCTCTCCTGACTTGTGTGACTATTGCTGCCGTGTATTGATGCGCTGTGAGTCAGCACATCTAATTCAGCACTCCTTTCCCTTCTGGGGTGGGACCCTTCCATTTTCACGACCTGTCCTCTTTACTTCTATGAATAGCTCTTCCCTAGGGCTGGGGAGAAGTGCCTCATGCAGAAGCACGAGGACCTGAGTTTGGATTCCCAGCATCCATGTAGAAGGCTGAAGCAGCTCCGTGTGCCTGTAACTTCACTGCTGTGGGGTGGAGACAGGTGGATCCTTGGAACTCATTGGCTACAAACCGATGAGCTTCAGGCTCAGCGAGAGAACTGATCTCACAAAACTAAGGTAGAGAGCAATCAAGGACACACCTGATGTCTACATACATGCACACACATATACACACATTCACATGAACATGTGCACACATACAAACACACATGCATGCACAAATACACTAGCATGTACGGATATGCACACAAGTATGCACACATCTCAAATACACATTACACATAAAACACATGTATACAAATACACATGTGCACACATTCACATGGACATATTAAGATATACATACAAACATATACAAACATGAATATACACACATAGACACATCTACATGAACACATGCACACACATGCAAGCACATGCACATACACAAATACAATCATGCACACACACATACACACTCATGTGGACATACCACACAAACACATACAAGTGCATACAAACACATGCACACATATACACAAATGCACACACCTATTTAGTCCCTGCCGGGCATGTGTATAATCCGAACACTTGGGAGACTATGGAGGGAAGATTGCATGAATTCACTTGAGGCTAGCCTCAGCTACACAGTAAATTTCAGAACAGCCAGGGCCAGGAGTGAGGCATTGTTTCAAAATAATGATAAAAATAGAAATAATTCAGGGCCTGAGAGATGGCTCAGCAGTTAAGAGCACTGGTTGTTCTTGCAGAAAACCTGGGTTCAAATCCCAGCACCCACATAGCAGCTAACAACCGTCCATAACTCCAGTTCCCAGGGATCTGACGTCCTGTTCTGTCTTCTGCAGGCTTTGCATGACACGGGTGCTCTTACATACACACGGGCAATACTCTCATACACATAAAATAAAAATAAATAAGTCAAAAGAATAGAATATGGAAATAATTCTCCCTTAAATTTCCCTTAAACTCTACTTTCCGTGGCAGCATCCACGCCAGCTTCTTTAACGTGTGTGACGTGTGCAGCTTTTCTAGCCTTTTGCTTTCCATCTGGTGGTCCTTGGTGTTGAAAGCCTGCCTCCCATGAGTGTGTGCTAATGGCTGGGCCCTGCTTTTTGCACAAGCATTTTCTAGAACTTGGAATGCCATTGGCTCCGAGTTGTTAACATTCTGGGTCACATCGTCATCTTGCCCTTTGTTGCCCTTTGTCCTGTTTGCGTCCTGTTTCTTTGTTGTTCTAGGGCTTCTGCCCCTGCCTTGGATAATTACCTGTTCCTAATTGTTCTGTTTATCTCCTGTGCAATCCTTTCAACTAGATGTTTTTGCATCTTTCACTCCTTACATTCTACTTTAAATATGTATTCTTGCCATTTCCTAGATGGCTTAACAACCTTACATCATTGAACTCAGCCCCGCCTTCTCCCCATGTGCTCTTGCGCACATTTTGCTTCTACACAGCTGTGAACTCCACAAGACGGTTCCTGTTTCTGTCACCTGATTTGCTTTTGCATTTCGGGTTTGCCATTTCTGTTTCTGGGATTTCCCACTGTCTTCCGCAGCCCCGCAGCTCCTCTGGGATGGCTTCTTGGCCTTTCTCTGCTGGACAAGATCTTCTACGTCTTGATTTGTCTTCCCTTTTGAAGATACCTGCAGGAGGGTGGGCCTGTGGCTGGTACCTGTAGCCATTCTTGAAATATTCCATTTTCTTGGGCTTTCATGATCCTCTGGAAGGTTAGCCAGAGGGATCTACTGTTTTGTAAGCCCTGCAGTGGTCCGTGTATACGGACCTTGTGGGTACAAGGAGATAGGGAGTAGCGTTCCCTAGGGGCCCTACTTTCTCCAGCTGTGACTGCAGTGTGAGGCTAACATTCCAACCCTCAGTGGCTGGGCTGCATCCCAGAGGCCATAATTGTAACTTTGGGTGAATCCAACCCTGCTCTGATATCAGGGCCTCAGGGTGAACATGAATGTCATAGCCATTCCCTGAAAGACCCTTGCCTACAAAGTCTGGAGACTGTTCTGCCTTCAGCCCAGATATCTGTCTGTGCCCTGAGAAGGGCTGTGTTTTAAGCTCCACTAGAGCCAAATCTCCCAAAGATTCATGTGGCTGAGTGGCTTCTTATTGTCAAGACTGATTCTCAGCCTCTGTCCTGGTCAGGCGAATATTCCCAAAACCCTGTCCTAGAAAAGGCCTCCATGTCAGAATATAGCTCATCCCGCCCTCCCTTACTTCAGAGCTCTGGAAAATACACATTGCAATTTGCCTATTCTTGTAGTCTTTACAGGAGGCATTGTGATGCCACTACCCACCCATCTTAGTACTGTCCCTCGTTAAGATGCCCACCCAGGAATTTTAATTATTTAATTTTATCACCTGCCTCTACTTTCTAGTCATGTGTTTGTGTCTTTAATTTTTAAAAATTTTTATTTATTATTTTTATTTTATGTGTATGAGTGTATTGCCTGAATGTATGTAAGTGCATTCATGTCGTGCAAGGCCTACGGAGGTCAGAAGAGGGCACTGGATCCCCTGAAACTGGAGTTATGGACAGTTGCTAACTACCATGTGGGTGCTAGAAATTGAACCTGGGTCCTCTGCAAAAGCAGCCAGTTCTCTTAACCGCAGAGCCATCTCTCCCAGCCCGTGTCTAATTTTTAGATTAACTCTACATATATATACCTGACACTGGCCTCAAACTTAGTGCATAGCCCAGTCAGGCCCTGAGCTCAAGATCCACCTTAGCGTCCTGGGTGCTGGGATCACAGACACGAGTCACTTCACTCAGAACCTTATTTATTTTTATTACTCATCTCAATAAGAACTTTACTTACCAAACAAATCTGGACAGTGTGACTCAGTTTACCTCTTCCCACTCCTAAGACTGTTGTCATTTGTTTCTATCTTTATTTTAAAAGGCACATGGTATCTTTGCTATTGCTTTAAACAGTCAGTTACTTTTTTCTCATACATCAACCATTTTATTTTGTCCTGAAAAACTTCTAATGATGGTGGTCTGGTAGAGAACTTTCTCCGTCTTTTAGTCTCAAAAAAACCTAATTTTTTTTTTTTTGGTCTTTTAAAGACAGGATCTCCCTATAGCTCCAGCTGGCCTAGAACTCACTCACTGTATAGACCAGGCTGGCCTTGAGCTCACAGAGACCCATCTGCTTCTGCCTCCTGAGTGCTGGGATTAAAGGCATGAGCCACCATGTCTGGCAAATTTTCTTTTGATTTTGAGAGATTATTTTCTCCAGGATAGAATTCTCAATTTGCAAAAGTTCATTGCTCTGTTCTGCAGGTCTTTCTAACTGACACTACTGCACGCTTTGGTGACTGCATGCCCATTCTGTTTAGTTCCCTTTTCAGAATTTGTTTACATACTCTACTGTGTGAGTTGTTCTAGGCATAACTCCTTCCTAAGGAAGGTGATCACTTTAACATGTTTATTAGCCACTAATGGTAACAGAAAAAAGTGGATAACATATATTTTATTGACTTAAGAACTCTCTCAACAAAAACACTTTATTATAAAGTGAATTAAAAGACAAGCCACAAACTAGAGGGGCAGATCCACTGTCCATGCATTCAACAGAGGTCTCAAATTTAGAAGTTACAGAGAACTCTGACTAGTGAGAAGAAATGAACCAAGTGAAATGTCAGGGCAGGGGCTGGCTCTGTGGTTCAATGGGTAGAGTGCTTGTAGCTCAGCTGGTAGGGTGCTTACCTATCATTCATGAAGCCCAGCACCTCAGAAACCAGGTGTGGTGGTGTGCATCTGTAATCCCGGCACTCAGGAGGTAGCAGGAGGATCAGAAGTTTAAGGTCAGGTACACAGCAAGTTAGAGGCAGTTGGGCTACATGGGACCCTGCATAAAGAGAAAAAAAAAGTTGGAACTTCATGAAAGACAAACTCAGCTATCTAATCATGCTGAATAGGTGCCCAGAATTGTAGCTTATCAGACAAAATGCAAGTTAAAAGTACAGTGAGTGCTTGGTGGTGGCACCTGTAATCTCAGGAGGATCTCAAGCTTGAGGCTAGCCTAGGCTACATGCTGAGACCTGTCTGAAAAACTGAAGAAGGAAAAAGGAAAAAAGCAATGACAGCAAAACCCACAACGGGGCCTCGACACACCCACCAGAATAGCTAAATCAGAGACTTGCAGCACTAAGTGTTGGCCTGCATCAACGGCTCTAACACACAGCTGGTGGGAACATAGAGTGACATACTGCTTTGGAAGCGTAAGAAATACATATATATATATGAATGACCTGACTACTCCCATCACTGGAGAAATGGAGCATCCATCCTCAGAAAGATTGATCTAGCCCAGACCTGATGGGGCTCCAGCAGTGTCAGAGAAATGGCTGTGGATGATGCAGCCATGAACAAATCTCACAGTAATGTGTCTTAGAGATGCTGGACTGGAGGGCGTGTGTGTGAGTCCATGGGTGTGAATACAAGGAAGGCAGAGTCCATTCCCATAGTGGAAAGTGAGAATGGCCACTAGCTGCCATCAACTGGGACAGAACACAATGGAACCTTCCAAGTAGCCCAGACTGTTTTTTTTAAAAAAGATTTATTGTGGCCGGTGTGGTGGTGCATGTCTTTAATCCTAGCACTTGGGAGGCAGAGGCAGGTGCAACTTTGTGAGTTTGACACCAGCCTGGTCTACATAGTATTAGGGTTTCAAACCGCAGCAGCCTCCCCCCTCTCCAACAGGGTCTCAGGGACTTCGGATTTCCCAAGTCCCCGAGAAAAGGGAACCGAGCTGATAAGCACCTTGGTCTTTGAAGTCAAGGGAAGCAGACTTCTAAGAGGCAGTCTGGCTTTCCTTTGCTCTCCGAATATAAGATAAGCAGATTCTGCCTGTTAACCAGAGATTTTAAGAGCTGCTTTAGCACAGCAGCTTTTCCCTTCTCTTAAGAGGACAAAAGCTAACCCCTTCCTGACCCAGATCCTAGCTGGCAGACGGAACGGAGCTGGGTTTACAAGCCTAGCTTTTCCTGCTTTCCCCGCCTGATTTTTTCCAAAAAACTTCCCACCTTCTGCACCCTGAAGTCCCCATATATAAGTCCCAGCTCATAATCCATGGGCAGACATTTTTCCTTCCCCTGAGGGAACATGTCCCGTGTGAAATAAAGCTCTATCCCATTGAGAGTTTTATCTGTGTCCTGGTGCTTCCTCCTCTATCTGTTCCTTCTCTGGCAACTTTTTACCTATCACATAGTGAGTTCCAGGACAGCTGGGGCTTCAGGGAGACCTTGTCTCAAAAAGAAAAAAAGAAAAATCTGAAGCTGGGTGTGGTGGCACACACCTTTAATCCCAACACTTGGCAGGTCTCAGTGAGAGTGAGGTCAGCCTGATCTACAAAGTTTCAGGCCACCAGGGGCTATACCCAGGGACTACACACACACAGACACACACACACACACACACACACCCCACTGGGTGGCAGCACTGAGCCCCAGTTTGGCAAACCTGACAGGAGCTGAGCAGACCCCGGGGTGCTTTGCAAGAACTGCCAGCTTAGACGCCCTGCAGCACACTGAGAGCCTCGGGCCTGTTTGATCCTTGTTGAGGCTGACAGGGCTCCACTCAGGTGCTTGTGCATCAGGACCCAGAAAGCCATGGGGCTGTATGTCTTTCTCATCACCAGACCTGTTCTCTGCTGAGCAGATGTGTCCAGGCACTGAGCATCGTTGGTCTCTGAAACTGCCAGGCTCTGGTCCTGCTCCCGATTGTCTCATAACAACTTTCCTAGCTTCCAGCCTCTTGCCGAGCAGCAGAGGCAATGTATGTGGGTAATGTGACCGCAGTGATGTGTGAGTCCAGTGCTGCCTCACCCTCAACTTCCAGGTCTAGGGCCACAGTGTTCTGGAAAGCCAATGGAGGTTCCTGTCCACTGGACAGCCACGGTAGTGACAGCACCTGGGCCATCAAGTTCCTGCTGATGACACCATCCCATTGCACTAATCTGACCTGTCTCTGTGGGTCAGAGGGTGTTCTGAGGGTGCTGGGGTTTGTCTGCACTGGCTTGCACCAAGTCTTTATTGTGGCAGAGCTGTGCTATCATTATGAGAGCCAAACAACATGTGACATCTATAGAGGAAGCTCGCATCCAGTAGACCAGGGGAGTGAGGAGGCCCTGCTTGGTGTCTGGCCGGCAGGGGCATCACTCCATCACTTGTCACAGGTTTCCAGCACCCAGCCAGTGGTGGGGGCTGACACTACTGGGACTCCAGCTCCTCAGCCCATGGATAGGGGCCTGACCCACATAATCAGGGGTTGCCATGTTTCAATTTCTCCTAAATGCTGCCCTCCTCTCCCAGAAGGTGAATAGAACACAGATTTTCCCCTGTCCCCAAGCCCTTCTTGCTCTGGTCCTACCTCCAGTCTCAGCCAGAGTTGTGGCCCATTGGTGGCCACAGGACAATGTGCAGGGAGCCTTTCCTGAACATTGTCCATTGCAGTGGATCTGCCCCCATGTGTGGGGACCCCAAGGAACCTGGGTATGGCTATGGGTGTTGGGCTACACATCCCTCTCAGGTGGTTGTAGCATACCTTCAAATTCTGAAAGCTACTCAGACATCCCTACTGTCCCTGCCCTTGTTCCCTGGGATTATGGTGGCTTCCTAACTCAGGCCCAATGCTGCAACAACTCCGAATCCACCAATAAGATCATGGGGTCAGTTGACAGTAAAGTTCACAGGACAGTAAGCTGGCTGCTACGGTAGAACACACAGGCCCGTATGGCAGTTTGGCTCCATTCAATGCAGACGGCACCTTGGCACAGTCCCACTTGTCTGTGGCTCCCTGGGATTATGGTGGCTTCCTAACTCAGGCCCAATGCTGCAACAACTCCGAATCCACCAATAAGATCATGGGGTCAGTTGACAGTAAAGTTCACAGGACAGTAAGCTGGCTGCTACGGTAGAACAGACAGGCCTGTATGGCAGTTTGTCTCCATTCAATGCAGACGGCACCTTGGCACAGTCCCACTTGTCTGTGGTTTTCCTGTGGCACGGGCTTGGCATCCTTGGGATCCACATGCAGTCCAGGTTCATGCATTGGAGGTTCTTAACCCCTTGACACGCCCTGTCCAAGGCAGCCTCGCAGGGCCCTGTCTCCCATGTCCTCAGTTGGTGACATCCCATCCTGCCTCTATCCTAGAGTGGAGACGCCTGCTGGTCATCGGGGCTGAGGGCCATCTCTCGAGCCTCATGCCCTCTCTGAATCTTGCTTTTTTAGTGGCAATGCTTTCATCTCTGAGTCAAGAAGTTACTTTTCGCAGTGCCAGACTCTGCTGAATAAGATCACTTCTGTGAATCCTCAGACAGAGATTGATGGGCTTCGGAACATCTGGATCATAAAGCCCGCAGCCAAATCCCGGGGCCGAGGTGAGTTCACTGGGCTGGGCCTTCTCACTGTGTAAGTCACCAGCCTTGCCAGCCACCTGGTCTGTGATGGTGTGAGATGCAGGGAGGGCCACCGAGGTCTGCGAGGGGCCAAGATGCCGGGGCACCCCAGCTGTGCTGGAAGCAGAGGTGTCTTCACAGCCCGTCACAGTGCTGCTCTGGAGTTGCCATGTTGGCTTGGGTGTCCTCATCCGCATTCATCAGAGTTTTCTTTTTTATATTGCCTCAATCTTAGCAGTAGATATATTCTGGCCTCTAAAGAGGGTGAAGGGTGCCCATTTCAAGCACCAGTGTACTCACCCCCCTGCTGTCCTGGGATGCCACCTTGTTTAGCATTGTGTCCCAAGCCGTCTCTGTCTCCTTTCCCATCAGGCCATACTGTTCTCCCACTGCAGATTCTGTATCCCGAGGGACACTGTATGAACAGCCCTGATGTGCTGTTCAGAATCAATTCATCTTTCTCTATTGGTCACCCAGTAGTATAATCCCTTTCCTACCCCTGATGGCTCCTGAGTGAAGGACCAAGGTGGCTTCAGAAGTTTGTCACTGTGTCCAGAGTTTTCTTTTTAAGTCTTTCATTCATTTATTTATTTGTTTTTTGTTGTTTGTTTGTTTTTGATTTTTTTGGTCCTTTTGAGACGGGGTCTCCCTGTAGTTCCAGCTGATCTGGAACTCACTGTTTAGATCAGGCTGGCCTCGAACTCACAGAGATCCACCTGCCTCTGTCTCCCAAGTGCTGGGATTAAAGAGTGTGCCACCACGCCGGACCTATTTTTTTTACTTGATATGTATGAGTGTATTGCCTGCATGTAAGCAGGTGCATCTCACCGTGTTGTGCACTGCCCTCGGGAGTCGGAAGAGGGTGTCAGATCCCCTGGAACTGGAGTTAAGGATGGTTGTTAGCCGCCATGTGCGTGCCGGAATTCGAACCTGGGTCTTCTGCAAGAACAGCCAGTGCTCTTAACCACTGAGCCATCTCTCCAGCCCTTTGGTAGGAGGACAGAGTTTTCATTTTAAGCAAGGTCTTGACTTCCTATGACTAAAGAAATGCAAGCTGTGTGCTTTGTGAGAACTTGCCTTATGTCTCTGGGACTCTATAGATGGAACTTACCCCTCCTTTTACCGTCAGAATTGACCAGATGGTACTGTGTAACGAACAGCCCCCAAAATCTCAGCCGCTCTCAGCAAAAGCAGTTTTATCTGTTACTTGAGCTTGTTGACCTGGGCAGATTGCAAAGGTGCTCGCCCATCAAAGTTCCCCATCTTGTGGCCCCATTCTGATTCTCCATTTTCACAGCAGAGAAGAGTGGGCTGGAGGTTCTGTTGCCAGCATTAAACAGTGTGTAGTTTACAGTGAAGCACATCACTACTTCCCAGATGCCCCACTGTCATGTAGCCTAACTTTGGACCGTGGGTGGGACGTTGCAGAGCCTACCTATGAAGGGGGAGCTGACAAGAAGCACTTAAATGCTGCCGTCTGTCTGGCCACCCTTTAGGATTAACCCTCACAGATCTCCAAGCCCCTCCTCTGAGGTCATCACACCCCAGAGCACAGTCTTGTGTGGGTCTCTGCTCTGTCCCTCCCTTGATCTCTGTGGGCCCTCTGGAATGTGGGATTGGCCCTGTGATGGGAGAACAGAACTGGTGGCTAGTACCAACTGCAGTTTAGTCCACTGAGTGCACATCTGCCCTTCGCAGTCAGCCCTGTAGTCTCTGCCCTGGACCAAAGCCAGGGTAGGTGTTGGGGTGGATTTCATAGGGGCTGTGCTGCACTGAGCCAAGATACCACTGCTTGTGCCTGCAGATATTGTGTGCATGGACCGTGTGGAGAACATCCTGGAGCTGGTGGCTACAGACAACCAGACCACCAAAGACAACAAGTGGGTGGTCCAGAAGTACATTGAGACTCCAATGCTCATCTACGACACCAAGTTTGACATCCGGCAGTGGTTCCTCGTCACCGACTGGAATCCCTTAACCATCTGGTTCTACAAGGAAAGCTACCTACGGTTCTCCACACAGTGCTTCTCCCTGGACAAGCTGGACAGGTCAGCAGAGGGAGCTCCATACTACCCAAAGCACCTAAGCAGGAGGCCCTGGGTGTGCACAGATTGGGGCATTCTGTTTCTCACTCTGCACCCTCAAGGTCACCCACTACTTCCAAGGCATCAGAGCTTCTAGGTAGATGCTCAGAGACAAACCATGTCCCAGTACAGTAGGACAATGAGAGCCAAGCAGAATCCTGAGGGATGAGACAGAGCTTCCTCTGGGTGGTTTCATGAGTGTCACTTGTCAGGCAGGGCTGGAGACCTGTGACGGATGAGTCAGTTGGAATCCCAGGAGGCTGAGGGTTGCTTTAGAGAGACCTTATTGACTGAACTTCACCCCAAGTACACCTGGAGTCACACCTCTTAGGTCTCAACCTAGAGTGGGGCTGGGCACACCTGGAAGCATCCATCGTCTTTGTGCTGCCTCTAGTCAGATCAGGCAGGGCCCAGGAACTCACTGTGAAAATGGAGCCAGGGAGATGCATGTAGCCCCATCTACCTGCCCAACCAAGTCATGAGCGCTTGTCTAGAACAGCCCCCTTTCCTCAGCCTGGGCTGATGCGAGATTCCCTGAAACTGTGCCCAGCTATGTAGACAGAAAGTAGTTTGAAGACTGTCATCTAGTTGGCCATACCTTTTGAATTGTCACCTTTCTTACATGTGGCTGTGGGGCAGGCTTCGCCCCAGAACTTAATGGAAATTTCCAGCCTAACATGTCTGCCCTGTACCTGCAATTCAAATGAAATGCTCTTAGTGCAAAATGTGTTTCATAGTCCCTAAAAGACGTCACTCATCTTACGTCTATCCAAGGCTAACTCACTGGAAACTTTGGGTAAGTAGGTCACATCAGTCAGTCTCACCACACCAGCACTTGAAGGGCTGTTGCCCCTACTGACATGTGCAGGTGGGGAAACCGAGGCTTGGGAAGATTGCTCTAGTAGGCGACCCTGCATTGATGGGCCTCTGCTATGTTCCCCAGGGAGCCCACTGCTGCTTCTGGGTGACAGAGCTGTCAGAGCCTAGTCCATTGGCCCAGGCCTCCTGCAGCTGCCCTGCACCAGGCATGGGGACTTTGGGGCAGATAGGACAGGTTAGGCAGATAGTGATAGTCCCATGTAATGGTGATTGGCATCCACCAGCCTCACAAGCATGTTGCCTACAGTGCCATCCACTTGTGTAACAACTCCATCCAGAGACGGCTGAAGAACGACAAGGGGCGCAGCCCACTGCTACCCGGCCACAACATGTGGACCAGCTCCCGCTTCCAAGAGTACTTGCAGAAGAGGGGCTGTGGGACCATGTGGAGCAGCATCATCTACCCGTCCATGAAAAAAGCCATCACCAATGCCGTGAGGATGGCCCAGGACCACGTAGAGGCCCGAAAGAACAGCTTTGAGCTCTACGGGGCTGACTGCATCCTAGGGCGAGACTTCAAGCCCTGGCTCATTGAGATCAATTCCAGCCCCACCATGCACCCGTCCACTCCTGTCACCGCTCAGCTCTGTGCCCAGGTGCAGGAGGACACTATCAAGGTTGTGGTGGACCGCAGGCTGGACCGAAACTGTGACATCGGCAACTTTGAACTTCTGTGGAGGCAGGTGAGCACAGTGGCTGCCCTGCCCTGGCTTTGAGCTTCTCTCTACAGGGTGGGCTTGGACCCTTATGTTCTACTTACCTTTGTTCTTGGTCTCTAGGGAGCACAAATTCTGTTCTTTGGGTCTGTCAGGGGCCTGAGTCTGCCTGATCTGCTCTGGGCTCAGCCCCCTGTTCATCAAAAGGCTCACTCTAGACATGGGTCTGAGAAGCCCCGATCACCAACACTGGTCACTTGGCCTCCGTGGCATCCACAGTCTAGCCTTCCTACCTCTCATTCTTCATGCCCCAACTTCGTGGCCAAGGGGTAGGGCCCTTGCCCGAGTGGGCTTGGGAGGTTCCACAGCATCCAGGCCCTTCTAGGCCATCCCTCTCCAGACCTGCCTAGCCTCTTTCTGAAGTCTCTCCAGCTGCCTCACGTTGGGGGTAACCCAGCAGGCCAGGCATGATGGCTTGGAGCCTTTGCCTCTGAACTTCAGCCCTGTGAGTTAAGCCCCAGGGCCTGGAGGAGGCAAGCTGGGCTCTGTCTGAAGGAGGAGCCCAGTGAGCAGCTGAGGCATCAGGAAGTGGGACCCAAGCTGAGGCATTACAGATGGTTGGGTATGGAGCCAGCCAGGTGATCCCCTGGGCTACAGGCTCTCAAGGGCCCAGAAGGGGCCCCAAGTACCCATCCCTGGTGGGGGGTGACTGACCAGCAGCCTCCCTTTTGCAGCCTGCCATCGAGCTGCCCCCATTCAACGGGTCTGACCTCTGTGTGGAAGGAATCAGTGTGAAGAAAGCCAAGAAGCAAATGCCACCCATCACCAACCTCGGCTTCTCAGAATGACTTTCGGACTCACCACTCAAAATGCAGAGCCCCCAGGGTCTGCCAGATCCAGCGTGCGGGCCCTCCGGAGCCACCCTGAGGCTGGGCAGGAAACGGGAAGAGGCAAAGGTACTTTCAGCCACCTGGCCTGTGCCAGTACTGCCACTGAGGGGGGCTGTCAAGCGAAGCCCACCCATGTGCTTCCAGCCTGCAACTACCAACATGTAGACAGTGAGACCCCAAAAAGCACTTTTACCAAAGCCCTGTCCACCAAACAATTGGATCCAAAATTCTGTAAATATGCAGTTCCTGGCCCCCGTGCAGCAGCACAGTGTGAAGATAGTGGAGAGGCCTCTGTCTCCCCCTGCCCAAAGCATCAGGTAACCATGGGGATCCTGTGCCTGCCTGTCCCATCATATTTAGAGATTTCTGGCTCCATCCCAACCCTCAAAGACCTTCCAGCTGCATCCTCCAGAGCAGGCCACAGTGCTGGGGAAGGAACATCCCCTGACAGGAGCTCCAGCCTGAGCTTGAAGGGCTGGAGGCACACTGGCACCTACCTGGTTATGCCATGTTATGCCGGTCAAGGTGAGCAGCATCGTGAGGTCCTGCAGCAACAATCACCCAGGACCTCCCTGGGTAGTATGCACAACATCTCATGGGAAGCAGAGATGGGGAGGTTGGATTATAGCACCCCAACAGCACCAAGTGGCATAGATGGGGAAGGTGGCAGGAACTGTTGGACTCTTACACGAAGTTTTCAGATTCTGATGAAGCTGACACGTTTGTGTACAAGGTGGAATGGCTGGGCTGTGTCTCTACCCTGGGACTTCACGTGGTATCTGTTACCTAGCAGCAGCTCAGCATGTCAGGCCAGGCCCCCACCATTCTCTACTAAAGTGTACCCTTCTCCTACACAGTACCCTCTGCTTGGTTAGTCTGTCTCTCTCTCACTGCCTCCTGGCCACCTGGTCCTGTTCCTAGTCCTCCTTGTCTGCTGTCTGTGCCCCTGGATGGTAAGCTTCGGAGCACGGGCTCCCACTGCCACATTTGCAACTGCACCCCAATGCTGAAGATGGTGTGTAGCATGCGTCAGATGGCACATGTGTCAAACATAGGGGCTCTGGGTGGGAGGAGCCCCTTGTCTGACCTGTCACCAAGGCCCGTCAGCTTCCGAGCCTATCCTGTGTGGGTGACTCTAGGTTTATGTCATTATGAAAGTGTCTCTGGGAGCATAGGGGTTGCACACCTACGGAGCTCTTCCCATGGGAAAAAGTCATCTGAAGTGGCAGCTCCAGCTAACAAGGTGTAAGGGCATCCACAATAACGAACCACAGACTAAAGGCTAAAAATGCAAATTTTATCTCACTGTCCTGGAAGCCAGGTCAGCAGGACCATACTTCTGAAGATGGTCCCTCTTCCTAAATCACTGGTGACTGATGACACGTCATTCCTATGCCACGTGCCCTCCGTGAGGCTGTTCAGAGTTCCCTCCCATGAAGACAGCAATCTTTGTATTAGAGGCCCCCCCCCCAATACAGCCTTGTTGAGTGATTGCATCAGCAAAGACTATTTCCAAACAAGAAAGGTTCCAGGTGGACATGAATTTGTGGGGACACTTCACCCGATTGTGCTGATTCACACCCTGATCAGCACCACACAGGCTGCTGTGGCTCCTGTCACTGCTGCTGTCAATCACAGACTCAGCCTTTGCCTCTGCAGCATATGGTGGGCGCCTTTCGTCTCTCCACTCAGTAATGGCGTGGAAATGAACTGCTGTCACACATTTGTCAACCCTTTCAGCTTCTTCTGGGGGGACTGCTCGCGTCTTTGACCACCTGACCTCAGGGCCATGGGCTCACTCTTCCTAGCTTGCCATAGAGTCTGTTAGAGATTCCCCTTTCCAACCAATTTCTGTTGCGAAGACCGTCTCCCACCCTATGACTTGTCTTTTGGCTCCTTCATGGCATCCTTTGTTGTAAAACCATCTTAATTTTAATACAATCAAATTAACCAACTTCTCTAAATTTGGTGAGTTTTTAGCTTGTTGGTGAAGGCCTTCACCCTGAGATCACGGTGATAACACCCCAGGGCTGTCTGCCAGGACCCAAGTCTCTGAGAACTGGATGGTAATTGGTATGAGGCAAAGATTCCCTCTTGGAAAGCCTTTCCCATTTACATGGTCACCTCGTGGCCTACGTCCACACGCACACAGGCCTGTCCCTGAACATACCAGTCTCCCCACTGATCTATTCATCTGCCTTTGCTACTGTTGCTTCTGCTCTGGGCAAATCCCTCCACATCGTTTCTTTTCCTGGGAAATGACTGAGCTGTTCTGGACCCGTGCTTCCACAGATACTGCAGAATCAGGCAAACAAGCACCAACAAGAAAACCTATGAGGGCCTAGAGAGATGGCTCAGCAGTTACGAGCACTGGCTACTCTTATAGAGGACCCAGGTTTGAATCCCAACACCCACATGGCGGTTTGTAACTCCAGTTCCAGGGAATCCAATGCCCTTCTATGTCCTCCATGGGCACTGCAGGACATGGGAACACTTACATACATGCAGACATAACACTCATAACACATAAATATATTTTTTAAAAGAAAAACTATTAGAAGTTCTATTGGGATTAAGTTGGAATTCATGATTACTTTGGGTTGAGCCGGCTTCTTTACCACACAATCCATGGAAATCCATAAAATTTATTTTTCCTTTAAGGTTTTTCTTTAAACTCCTATACTTTTTTTTTTTTTGGTCTTTTTGAGACAGGTCTCTCTGTAGCCCCAGCTGTCCTGGAACTCACTATGTAGACGAGGCTGGCCTTGAACTCACAGAGATCCACCTGTCTCTGCCTCCGAGTGCTGGGATTAAAGGCATGCGTCACCACACCTGGCTTAAACTCCTATACTTTTAAAATTCCATTTTTTATGTATTTATTTGTGGAGGGGAGCACACATATGCCACTCATGCCATGAGATGCATGTGGAGGTCAGTGGATAACTTGTAGGAGATGATTTCTTTTCCTATCATGTGGATCCTGGGGATCAAACTCAAATCATCAGACTTGGCAGAAAGGGCAAATGCCCTTATCCACTACGCCGTCTCACTGGGCCCTAAACGCCTTCAATTCTCTTTGCTGTTTTCGGCAGATTTTTTAATATATTTTTATTCTATTGTAAGTTATATCTTTGGGTAAAATTTTGTTGTATCTACAAATTATACCTGTTCTACAGAAATGCTATTGATTTTTAAAACCCAGTCATCTGAATGTACATTCTTGTCAAGTCTATTAACTTATTTGAAGATTTGGATTTTTGTTATGAGAGTTCTATGTCAAACACATAAACACTATGTGTCTTTCTACGATGTCAGAACTTGCCACATTCCACTACCACGCCTCATTTAGAATAAAATTTGCTCAGAATCTTTTTTTAATATTGTTTTTATTACTTTTATTTATTTATTTATTTATTTTTTCAGAGCTGAGGACCGAACCCAGGGCCTTGTGCTTGCTAGGCAAGCACTCTACCACTGAGCTAAATCCCCAACCTCTTATTACTTTTATTTTATGTGCATGAGTGTATTGCCTGCATGTATGTAAGTGCAGTACCTGTAGAGGTCAGAAGAGGGTATCAGATCCCCTGGAACTGGAGTTATAGAAGGTTGTTAGCTGCTTTGTGGGTGTTGGGAACCGAACCCGGGTCCTCTTCAAGAGCAGCTGGCGCATTTAACAGCTGAGCCATCTCTCCAGCTTCTGCTCTGAATCTTTACAAAGGCCCATACATAGGGCTAGGAATATAGTTCAGTGGTAGAGCACTTGCTTAGCATGTATGAGGCCCAAAATTCGGTCCTTAGTACCACACACATACACACAAAAGGACATGTACAAGGGCTGGAGAGATGGCCCAGCAGTTAACAATGCATACTGCTTTTCCTGAGGACCCAAGTTCAGTTCCAAGCACCCACACTGGGTGGAGCGCAACTGCCTATAACTCCAGCTCCAGGGAATCCAATGGCTTCTTCTGACCTCTACAGACACCGGTACTCATGTGCACATACCCTCCCCCACATAATTAAAAATTAAAAAAAGAATGCTTTCTTAAAAGGACATGTAGTCTGATATAGACATATAAATTGATTGCTAGGCATATTAAGAATGTAGGTTGGAATTGGGGAAATGGCTACTTGCTGAGCAAGCATGAGGACTTGAGTTTGGTCCCCAGAGCCTACATAAAAAGCCAGACATGGTGCTATGCATTTGTAATCCCAGCCCTGGAGAGGTAGAGACAAGTGGATCTCTGGGCCTGACTGGCCAGTCAGCCTACCGAGCTAATCAGAGAGTCCCAGGTCCCAGTGAGAGACCTGTCTCAAAAACTAAGGAGGACAGAGACTGAGAAATGACACCTGAAGTCAACCTCCAGCCTTTACATGCACACATGCACACATGTTCACATGCATACGCTCATGAATACACAAACTTTTTTTGAGACAGGGTCTTACTATGTAGCCCCAGGTGGCCTGGAACTCACTATGTAGACCATTCCAAGGCTGGGCTTGCTCTCATAGCAATCTGTCTCCCTCTTCCTCTCAAATACTGGGATTAAAGGCATGTGCCACCCCACCCAGCACACAACATTTTTAAATGCATATTGAATTTTCTAAAATGATTTTTGCATCCACAAAGTTATCATTAGCCTCTTCTTCTAATAAAACAATACATAGATGGGCTCTAGTGAGGGAAGGGAGACTATGGGAGGGTGCCATCTGGGAAGTGGGTGTATAGTCGAATAAGATGGTTTGGGATGTTCTGTCTGATATACACACAAAAAAAATCAACAATTTTTTTAATGTATTATATTTGAGGAGGAAGCATGGAAATTTACATCATGCTAATTAGTAGAGGTGATGAACATTATCATTGAAATCTACCCGATGACTTTATAGACATACACAGGTGCCAAGGATCCAAGTTCAACCAATTATGACTAGTAATAATCAGATACATACGGATTAGAGATGCATGCGCCAATATCTGAGTGTTAGTAGCAAAAACAATGAGCCTTTCTGCAAGGAACAATATATTCTAAAATGAAATGGAGATCTTTTTTAAAGGTTAAAAACTCATTCAATTGTATGTCTTACAGGGCTTATACTGAGTTCAATATTGTACAACTGTATTAATTCAACTGTGAACCTAGAAACTTGCACCCACTTGTGAAAGAGATGTACTCTTTCTCTGGAGTGTGTTACTGAATATGTTAAAGCTGTAGTGAGATGCTTCTTCTAATCATGTGGTTATTAAAATTTTTTTAAATGATCAAAATAAAAAAAAAAGAATACAGAGATGAGTAACATCAACTAATATTGAATTCCCGGAACAGACTACTTTGGTTTGATGTTGGGTTGGATATATGGCTGGATTTGGTTTACTGGCTATGGTTAGAAGTTTGTGCTCAACCACAATTTTTTCATTCTTACTAATAAGTTGTTCCTAGGTCAGGTGAC